AGGAATGGAGACATTCTACCCACTAGTAAATGCTTATGCTGTTCTTTGTGTTAGAATCAGAAGTCTGCATCTTTTTGATGTCTAATTAAATGGCTTTTAGAATTTTCTACTTTTCTTGTAATCTGAATTTTGTAGTCACTGCAGAAGTCTGTCAGCTATTCCGCAAGCTTGTTGTGGTCCAATCAGAATATGTGCTATTCAGCTGAAACCATTCTTTAAAGTTCTCTGTCTAAGAAACATTGACTCTTGAGATTGAATCTGTTATCCCACAACTAAACAGGAGAGGGCTTGACCTTATTCTCTCTTTTTAGTGCCTTGATTTACAAAACAAAACCAAAAAAATCCCTATGTCTCAATCATAGAATGATTGCAAACCCACTTATGTGAAGCAATAGCCAGAGGACTAGTGAATAATGCTGGGAAAAGTGGTCTCAGATCCTTGTTTAGAACATTATTTCTTTGGCAGTAGTCTTTGCAAAGCTGGGATTTTAGATTTCTTTCTTGGCTTAAACCTCCCCCTCCCTGAAATCCAGAATCCTACCAGTTACAGCATAGCAAACAAAGACTAGCGCTTCCAGAAAACTAAATGAATCTGTTTTCTTGAAATCTATAAGCTTGAAGTTGTTTCCCAAATGTGCCTAAGGAGATAGGTCAGTTACAGTCTTTCTAGAGCCCCATACTGACTTCTTGAATGGCTTTTTTTGAGGAATAGGATTGTTCAGATAGAGTTTATGAATTCATTCTGAGTTGAGGGAGCATTATGCAAATGTCCCTGGAGATGCCATACATTTGAAAACGCTTTATATGTAGGCTACATGCAAAAAACATATTTAGAATCATAGAAACCTTTAGGTTGGAAAAGACCTTTAAGATCATCCGGTCCAACCATTAACCTAACATTACCAAGTCCACACTAAACCAATTAAGGGTATTTAATTTGATTAAGGACAGTATTTCAGTTTGTGGGCATACTGGCTTGCTTTGGTTCCCATTACGAAGGTCATGGGAAGAAGTCTCCTTATCTCGTAATAGATAAGTGATCATAGGTTAGAAGATGCAGAAATAAAGGGCAGGAGTAAATGGTTAGTGGAGGTACGTCAGCAGTTGAACCCCTCTGAGCTGACAGCCATGCTACTCAATGTACCAGACATTAATCTGCAAGTGGAGTTAGTGGTGAAACTTGCTGTTAGGAAGTTCTTTAGGAATCTGACATGAGTTGTTCTTCTGTCACGGTGTCTGTATCAGGAGTTGTAAAATCTAAATTATTGGATACGTTCAGAAGTCATACCCATCTGTGAAGAGATGATTAAGTATGCCTTCTTATATTTTGAGTACCTTGCTTTTTGTCCCATATGCATTTCTGTGAATGAGAGACAATCGCTGTTATCTCCCGCTTTTATTTCTAAGAAACTGTTTCCAATTGAAAATCACAGGAGGTTAAAGCTGCTCTTCTCTCTAGCCTAACCATGAATTTTCGTAGACTGTATTTAATTTTTTCCTGTAATTTATAACTTGATAAGATTATTCTGCTGTCTTTGTGACTGCTGTCCCTCTTCACTCTCTCCAATCTTATTATGCTCCTTAGTCATCATGAGTTAGCATCAAAAGAAATTGCCCTTCTTCCCAGAATCTAGTGGCAAGAGCTTTTTCTGGTCTTTCCCTTTCTCCTCCCTCAGCCTTTGGATGAGAAAGGCATTTTCAGTTTAGCAAAAAGACATAGGCACAGGAAAGTTGTGACTCTTCCCGACTTCCAGCAATTCTAGTAAAAAGTTTTTGTTTTTGTTTTTCATACAACTTCTTAAACTTTGAGGAAAAAACCAATATACCTGTTTTACAAGCCTCTCTTTAATACTGGGCTACTAGTGGAACGTTTATTTCTGAGACATGTCCACTAATGTCTCTGTTCATCTTTTAACATATGCAATTCAAAATATATTTCTCGTAAGTGTATTTTGGTGGGTTTTTTCTTTGAGAGAGTTGTTTTTCTTAAACTTCGCCTTGTGTGACTTCTTTTTGAGGAGCATGGTCTTATTCAGGACACTGTTCTTTATAGATACTCTTTCAGAACAAAGCAAAATGCAATTAATGTGTGGATTTTTCTCCGTTTGCTAGTGAGAATATATAGCAACTTGTGTGTCTGTACTAGTCTGCTTAGAACCGGAGTAAATCAAAATGGATAGGTGTATGTTCTTTCTCAATTTTTCTTGTTCATTCTCAGGGTTCAACTTTATCCTTTGCTACATCTCAGTTTAACAAAGTATGCAGTGTAAGTCTTTCCAATTACTAGTTTTTCCTCGCTTGTCACTGCTGAGCTTTTTTAGGTGTTTTGCTGTAACTTCTGAAGCAAATACTCCTTGGTTGAAAATAATTCCTTCCTTTGTAATTTATTCTTGCTTCAAAATATTTTGCCTTCCATGATTCAGATTTTTCTCTTGCATTTCTAGGGGGGGGGGGGGGTGTGTGTCAGCTTTTTTTGAAAATAGCCAAAATTTGTGCCATCAATTCCATAGTTCCTAGTGAAATGCTTATTTATGCTCTGACCATACTCATTGCTAAGCTGTAATTTGCAATTTTTATTGCAGACTTTGGTAGTAAAGTTGTATGCTGTGTTGATATGATTTGTTATGCTCTCTCAAATTTCTGATTCTTGACAGACAAATGTCTCCTAGATTAGGCTGTGCTCTTTCTTGTTAATTGGTTGAATCTAATGAAGTAGCCAAATAGTCTGTACCTTCCAATCTAAAGCTTATGAGTTATGACCAGCTCATTCTGCTTGATCATTCTTGAGTCTTTCCTGTGTTTGTGTATTAAATTTAGAAGGGACATGAAAGTTCTAGCAGGTTAAGGGTGTATCTCCTTTGGATGTGAGTAAAGACTGGATTAAACTGAAGTCCTTGAATTTGTAAATCCTGGGAAATTCAGTGCTGTAATGAATTTGGGGAATGTGATGTAAGATAGGCTTGGGCATTATTTCACCTAAAAAATAGCAGCTTTGCACTTAGGTTAAGTCCCTCCAGAGTAGTTGTGGCCTTGACTACTTAACTTCGTTTCCTTGTAGTTCTGTTTCTAGCAGTAATTCTTCATATGTGCAACTTTGGTTATCTCTTCACCTCTTGGGACCACAGATTAACTTCAAGTAACTTACTATAATAGGGAATAATTCCTGCTTTCCATAGAGAAATTGTGTGGCTTTGCTACACATCTGCTTTGCAAATGGATTCTCCTATGTCTCAGTCAAGGGAAACTCAAATGTGCATCTCGGGAGACTCACTGCCAAGTTGGGCTCAAATCTCTGGCATAGAAGGTGTCACAGACAAGTGGAATGTGGTAGCAGCCTGAGCTGTCGCAGCCATTGGCTGAGTGAAAGTGTATACAGCCTTGAAAGAGCACGTTTTCTGCTCACTGTGTTAATGAACTGCAAATCTGTTAAGAATTTGACTTGTAACAAAAAAGAAATAGTACATCGTTCTCAGACAATCAGCTCTATTTTATAGATGTGTAAATAATGAGAAATACATTTTAATATTTTTACATATTTCTCAGTAGGAGTTCCCAGTTTCCCAGTCAGCTTTAAAAACTGTGCTGAAAACCACCACCTCCTTACCTCCCCCCCAAATACACCCCAAAAATAACATTTTTTGAAAACTTAATATGGGTGATCTGGAATTGGATGGTTGGTAGACAAAGCCCAAAAGATCACTAACTAGATATTTTTATGCAGAACTAGTAATACTCCCATTAACTGACTTTCATGCAGTGGGCTAAATTGCTTCTTTTAACTTAATGAGATTCACTAAACATGAAAAGAGATAAGAGTTCTTTTACTTGAGAAACAATTAGTTATGCTCTTGATTTGTTAACTTGAATATTCATCTTAGTAGGAGTTGAGACTTGTCCAACTGTTCTTGCTGAGTCCTGATAAACTTCTAAAGAGTGTGTTGTTTTTTTCAGTTTGTTGTGCAAACTTATATTGGGAGGGGTGATTGTGAAAGAATTGTATGTAATTATATGTCCCTTGAAGCTGAAAATGGGTGTATGCTGTGTTGTCTTGAATATATTTGATTCTTGATAATTTAATTTTTTTTTTCCCCCAGTGTACACGTCAGATCATCTCTGAAAAATTGGGTCGTGGCTCAAGGACAGTAGATCTGGAACTAGAAGCTCAGATAGATATATTGAGAGATAACAAAAAAAAATATGAAAATATCTTGAAACTGGCACAGACACTGTCCACACAACTATTCCAGATGGTACATACCCAAAGGCAACTTGGAGATGCATTTGCTGACCTGAGTTTGAAATCATTGGAACTTCATGTAAGACTTTTATAGTGTTAAAAAATAAAATGGCAGAGATGAAGATAAGCCTAATTGACTCGTGCAGGGTATATAGTAGTTAGCAGCTATTTTTCTAAACATTGTTGTTAACAGTATATTATATGCTCTTTGTGTTAAAAGCTTATGTAATTCACTTAAAACTACAGGAAATTACTGAAATTACTGTAGTTCTTTATTGTTACTTGAATGTTTGCCTTTAGTTAATGGTTGGACTCAAGAACTGACAACTCTGTGTAGAAAATACATTTTACTATTAATTTTGCTTCTAATGAAATGTCATCAAAGTGTTCTAGAGTGTTACGTCATTTCAATTACAGGATGTCTTTGGGGAATATGCCTGGGAGTAAGTAGAATAGGGCACATTACTTGTGCACATTGAATGTGAGTAAATTATTTTTCTGTAGCATATTCAAGCATTGAGATTTCATCTCAAAGTCCGTTTTTAATCAGAGTTTTGCTACTAATAGGACTAATCTGTATTCTTACATTGTCTGGAGTTTCTGAGCAAAAGAGGCAATCTTTAGATACCTGCATTTGGGTTGTTATGATTGCTTGGTTTAGAAGTTTATGTAACACTGGCACTTCTTGTTGCCAATAATAAAACTCTCTGCTGTAAGGAGAGAAAAGGTAGATGTTGCATATAAAATATAATAGCTGGCTTGCTTCTACGTTGATTGTTCTGTACTTCTAAAGTTAAAGCAATTTGATACTGCTACTGATCCTTTGAAAACCAGTATTAAGGGGCTTAGTGATTCCCTAAAACATAGCTGCTGAAACAGCCCAAATTACCTTTGCAATTATTAAACTTAAAACCTCTGCCTGTTTATTTTCCCTTTTTTATGATTGTCTATTCCCATTGAGTTTTAAGGGAGGAGGTGGGGCTCATGCTTGCATAGAGGAATCTTAGCCGATAGCTAGCTGAAAAAATTTGAGACTCCTGCGCTGGAGTACAGGAATTTTTAATATTACAGTCTGACAGATGAAAATCTGTGAAAGTAGAGCCTTCTAGCAGCTAAGAAATTGCATAGTCTGCTAAAAGAGAAGTTCATAACAATCGCTTTACTCTTCATACAAATACGGGCATGTGGCTTGTGGCAGAACTTAGTGATTGTTATGAAGTATGTGCTGAAGCTGGATGTTTCTTCTGAAACTTGGATTAAATCTGGCATCATGCTCTTGTTTAATGAATGCGGTGGTTTTTTTTTTTTCCCATGAACAGCTTGTAACTTCTAGTGGGAATACTGTTCTTCCAGGTTCTTTCAGCATCTTGTACTGGTCTTGGAATTTGTTCAGTCATTCATCTCTTGTGTAGATTATTGAATGGGGCTGTTGATGGAAATCAAATAAAGGTTTCTGCTGCTGTAATAAAAGTTATCTAACCTTTGCCTCTTGGAGACTTGCCTGATGTTTGTCTCTTTCCTCTCTGTGTTTTCCCTTTGTTTAACCTGTACTATATTACCATCTGTAGCCTGGCCTGTTCTTCTTGCATGTTTGGATAGCGTTGGTGCCTCTAAAACCTGTACAAGACTAAAAGTAGAATTTCTGAGCAGTCAGTCTTTTAATGTTTAATGTGATAGCAGTATATAAGTTTAAAACAAAAACAAAACTCACACCACTTCTTAAGGTAATATTTCTTATTTTATACATGATAACAAAATGAGATCTCAGTGTGGTATCTGCAGAGGTATTACTTAATGTGAATGTTTTGTTGTTTCTCTTTTGGATACAAAGATAACTCCTGGTTCCAGGCTCATGTGCCTCTAATTATATAGACAGATGAATTCCAATTTTAATTGACCTGTGCATGAGTGTAAACTCTTGATATGGAAATGATTTCCTGTCTGTTTCATAAGAGGTATCTGCAGAGGTCATGGACAAAACTGAGAAGTTTTTATATGAAACTGTACAAACAGGTAGAAGGACAGTTTTGGTGGCTAGCATGTTTCTTAGTACTGCAGGCCACTGCAGTCCCATCCTTCTTACCCCCCTCCTTTGAATTGGTAGTGTTGTTCATTTGGGTCTGCGATGACCTGGGTCAGAGGACCAGCTGGAAAACTAATTGCAGTCTTGCCTGCAGGAGGGAAAAGAGATGGGACTAAACACTGCTGAAAGGGGCAGTCCTACTGCTGTTGTCTCTGCCTGTATGCTCCTACGTCTTCCCAGTGCTAGCACTTGTGTTACCGTGTAGCTGGCAACGTTAGAGCAAAACCAGCTGAAAAACACTTTTTTTTTTTTTTTTTTTTTTTAATTTCAGCAAGACCTGTAGTGATTTGGCTGACTGCTTTTGCCACCCAAGGAGCTGTGCAAAGCAAAGGCGACAGATCTTTAGCAGTGTTTACAGGGCTTAGCTCATGAAAACGTGCCCTAAGTTATCTTCCTTTTTTCTTCTCCTTCAAATTGCTCACTTCCACTGCACTTCCTTTTCTAGAGGATTCTTCCCTTTCCATTGCCCATTACCCTTGCCCTCATGAAGCTGGTAATGTTAACATGAAATACCATTTGGCTTTGTGTTCGTGTTCTAGAGAGATGAAAGGAAACTGGGAGAATACAGCACTTCTGAGTCAGTTGTTGGCAGTGTGCAAGCCTAAAAAGACCAAGTTCCAAATATGAACTTAGCGTGTTTTACAGCCATTACAACCAGAGATTATACTCTTTTGTGAGAACTCCCATCTGCAGAATATGAAGATGCCATATGGATGACATAAATACAATAATTGGACTCGTTTGGCATCCATGCATTAGGAAAATCTTTGCAGCCTTGGTCAGGGCTTACGCTGCTGTTAACAAAAAGACGTGAACAAACATATATCCAAATGTAACTGAAATGCCTTGGAAATAATTTTGCCCTTGTCCCTTTAAAATTTATGGCTGAACTACATTATAATTTTTATTTGCTATCCATTATAATGCTCTGCTCTTCAATTATTTACAGCCTGTTAAACTGTGATAGATGTTTTTTTTCGCAGTGCTCTTTTCCAGAATGTAAGAATAAAACTTAATAGCTAATTAATGCTGTGTGCCCTTGTGAATTTAGTTATATTACTGTATGTAATGTAGTGGTGTCTCTGTTGGTATTAAAGCATTACCTAGACAACCACATGAGAAATGCTGGATTAAAACTGTGCTGAATGACAATGTAAGATTACATTAGCACTTACTTTTAAGTAACATTCAAGACTTCCAAGTGCAGAAAAATCACATTATAAAATAGGATTTAACATCACACATGGTAACAAAATTGTAAACTGTGTTACTGATGTTGGAGAGATTTCATAAAAACTGTGAACTGAATATTGTATTGAAATTATATCTATTTAATCATAACCATACCCAAACAGAAGTGACAGAATTTCCACATCTGTGTGTTTGTATTTTTTTATGTAGTTGCTGATGAATGTTATGATTTTAAATGATCTACAGTTTTGTTTTCTCTGCTTTTTGTTTATAGGAGGAGTTTGGCTACAATGCAGATACACAGAAACTTCTAGCTAAAAATGGAGAAACTCTTCTTGGGGCTATTAACTTTTTTATTGCCAGTGTGAATACATTGGTGAATAAAACAATTGAGGATACATTATTGACTGTGAAACAGTATGAAAGTGCCAGGTAGCTATTCTATGTCTAGCTATTTTAACTACAAACTAATCTTCAGGAAACAGACTTTGTATCAGCTTAGTCCTTGTATTTGAGTGACTAACCTGTCAGATAAAAACCTTATAACACAACTCTTGTTTAATTAGGATTTACAGTTAACTGCCTCATTGCACATATCTTCAAGCATTTTGTAAACGTTCTCTTTTACTCATTAGCTCTGTATCTAAGAGTAATTATAGCTATTTTTTCCTGCCTGCTACATTAAGGTGGCTTTCTAAGCAGCGTAACAGTGGAAGATCAATCCTTTTATTTGGCTACATTGTAATAGGTGAAATAATTTTTTTGACTGCAAACCACTTAATCTGGTGCTTCTGTTGATGCACAATACATGCTTCTGTTTTTATGCAGAAGTTGCAGGCTAGGTTGGAAAGGGGAAAATAAGAAATTTCTTAGTGAGTGAATAATACCTAGCAGTAAATGATGGGTTTCCTGCCCTGGAGAAGGTTACTTTTTGATATGGCATAGTGCTCTAAAGCCAGGTTCACTTCTGTATGTAGTAGGATGTAGTTTATACATATTCTTTTTTGTGGTTGGGGTTGGGGGTTTTTTTAGGTCAAAAATTGCAAACTACTTGAGTTTTGAAGTTCTCTCCCCCTCCCCCCCTTTTTTCATTGTTCTGTTCTAACGCTTTATTTGTAAGCAAAATAGTAAGTCATTGTTTAGATATTTTGGTAAACTTTCAAAAAGCATGAAAGGCAGAATTAATCTAAATGTAAAGTATTTATTTTTCACATTGAAGTATTAAAAAAAAAAATTGGTTCACACATTTTTCAGGTATCCCCTTGAAAATATATACAAAATACATCTGCTAAGATTGTTCGTGCTAGTCATTTTCAATATACAGCTCTTCCCTCCTGAAATACCTTCACTACTTTCCCTTTCTGTTCAGTAAAGACATCAAGTATTTTGGCATTTCAATAAGGCAAATAAATCACAGTTACATAGCCAGTCTATCATTTTGCAACGTGAAAATAGGTCACGTTTATTTCTGTACCTCTTCTTCCCTGTCCCCAGTTGCACTTCAGCAATCATCTGTTCCCCTCTTCTGTCAACTCTGTATTGGTTTGTTTCTTTTTTGGAATTAAGTAATAAATTATTTAAATAAAGCCTGAATCATAGTGGCAATGAGAATCAGGAGGAGCTCTGTGAATATTATAACTCCTTTTACCGCTGAAAGTGTTGTATTTTATTTTGGAACAGTTATACCAACTGAAAAGTTGTTTTTTATAACCAGTTCTTAATCTCAATTTGTTTCCAGTTTTAGTAATGTCTGTTGTGAGAAAGCCAGGAATAGGTAGGTTTGTTCCATTAAAATTGGCATCTATCACATGTGATATGCTAGGTTTCATTATTTGAAAGCTACAAAGAAGTATGGAAGGAAGAGTGAGGCTTTGGACAGGGTTGCCCATGACCCTGGAGTGATTTCTGGCTATTGTCTGTTGGTTTACCTGGTCAAGTGCTAGATGGCTGTCAACAAAGGAGCACATGTTGCATAAAAGGAGGAAGAAAAAAGTTAGAGGTTGTTGCTACATTTGTCTCATCCACTTGCAATAATGTTTTAAAATATAAAAATAGTTTATCTGGCAAGGATCCAGTGTTCGGTAGACTTGTATGTAACACTGGAGCAGAAGATTAATTTAGTGATACAATCTTTAAACTACTGTCATTCCATGGGTGCTTCTCCCACTTATAAATGCTATACGTTGATGAATAGAAAGCTTAACTTAAACTTCCTTGGAAAAAAAAATCAGTTCATGTTCTTGAAGACAAAACTGAATATTGAAACTTACTTCTGTATTAAAAAATACTTCTAAGACATTTTGATTTTTTCCATTAAAATGAGAAGGAAGGTATCACTGGTTCATCTTTATTCATGTGATAAAATGATACAGTCTAATATGGAAGGATATCAAGCAGGTTTATAACTTTTAATAAATAGTGGTATATGAAGACTAGCTGTTCAGTTAAAACATTGTCAGGTGTCTGCAAGCAAGAGCCTATATGATAACATCAATTCTGGTTTTGCTAGCCATATCCAGGATAGATAATTTTGAGAGAACAAGAGTAAATTAGAAAACACTTTTCATCTGTCTTATCTAGAAGTGGGATATATACTTTTGGTGCAGAGTTAGCTTAAATATTTACCCAGCTGTTAGTCTTAACCTTCTGTCTTTCTCTTCCCTTATCTTCTTCAGTGGTCATATTGGTCCAGAGAGTCTGAGTTCCCTAGGAAAATAAGATAGGCCCTCAGTGGAGTATAAATAATGCATCAGCTTTTTGCAGCCTGTTTATCCACAGGGCAGATAAGTTCTCGCAAAGCTACTTGTGGAGGAACTATAAAGCTGTTCCAGTTAATGCACACAGAGAAGCCTAGAGCATGCTAGAGAAGCCCTGGGACAGAGTTTGGTAGAAGCGAGCCATTGCTCAAACATCTGGTTAAAGGGGATGTCCTGCTCTTGGTGCTTCTCTTGCTCTCGACACAAACTCTTCACTGAACTGATTCGACAGCAGAAGAATAACCTGAAAAAAAATTTACTAGCTTTATCTGGGTTAATAGCTGAGATATTCCAGGAAAGGAACATCTGACCACTGAAGCCAGCACAAAACAGAGGGTTGGGAGCATGTGGTTGAGACAGGAACAGATGAGGGAGGGTACTTGTTGAGGCAGCTTTATACAATGTACTTAAGGGTGGTTTTGCTTGATGAATAGGGGGAGGGGGAAAAAAAACTTGCCCGGGTTTTTCATTTTTTCCGTACTTGACTGTTTTGTTCTTCTGTTGTACTTGGCCCTATATGTGAGGTCTGTTTTGAGACACTTTGCCTTTAGATTTTTTTCCTCCTCTTCTTTCTTCTCAGGATTGAATATGATGCCTATCGAACAGACCTAGAAGAGCTCAATCTTGGCCCTCGTGATGCAAACACTCTGCCAAAGATTGAGCAATCACAACAACTGTTTCAAGTGCATAAAGAGAAATACGACAAAATGCGTAATGATGTATCTATCAAATTGAAATTTTTGGAAGAAAATAAGGTAAGCTACAACTTCTGATGTTCTGTTTAAGAGTTTTGTCCTGTAAGTATCTGCTTTGCTAGAAATACTTTAGTTGTTAGATCTTAAAATATATCTTAATTTAAAAGTAGAGCGAGCAAAGAAAATAAGCTGAATTTTCTGAGTTCTTGCTGTATCACTGGAGGACACAATTTTAGAGCAGGCAACCTTAAAAGGTCCTAATCAAGCTGCTCCAGCTGCAAATGGCAAACATTAGGGTAGTAAGTTTCTTGTTGATATGGGAGGTTTCAAGTTTGGAGAAGCATTACTTTTCCAGTTTATCACATTTAATGGTTAAATGAGTCATATAACTATTGATTTAAGATTCACAGTAATACTTATGTTTGACAACACTGTCATGGAGGATATGCACAAAGAAAGAGAGAGAACTGTGAAGAGGCTTCTTCAAAATTAAGCTTTCTTTAAACTAATAACTTGAACTGAGAAATACAAATTTCTTAATTCTAAACAGGGCTCTTGAACTGTTGGTTTGAAGTGTGGGTTTTTTTTTTCCCATATGTGTTTATTCCAACCATACCATTTCACCTATACCCTCTTAATGATGGGATTCTTACCCCTCTTATTCTGTCTACCAGGCAAAAATAGAATTGCCATACAGAACACACTTTTAAACTGTGCTTTCTTTCATAAACAAGTCTTAAATTGTTTCTAACTCGATGTAAAAATGATGGTCTTTCAAGATCTGATTTTTGTTTGTACTCATAGTAAATGAAATGGTTATATCATCTGTGACTGTACTTCCTGTGCCTTCAGGGAGAGGAAAATATGATCAAAACTTACATAAAAGATAGTAGTTTGTCAATTTGACCATGTCTAGCAGTGGATTAACATTTTCAGTATGGGTTAATTAATATATTTTAAAGATCTGAATGTATGTAACAACTGCCTGTCAGAGAATACAGCAGTGGCCCCAGATGACAACAGTAGGAAACCATGCTCCTTGCATGGAAGAGGGAACTTTAAGGGAAAATCATGGGGACAAGCTAAACCAATTAAAACTGATTATTATTCTGAATTCTTGAATATATTATCACATACGCAGTTGCATCAGCTGCTTAGAATAAAGATTGAAGACAGGGAAGAAACATGAACCATCAACAGATGAGAAGAAGAAAAAAGTGGAGAAAATCAACAAACCTTTTGGTTTCCAAAACAATATATGCTAAAAATGTAGCTCCTGAACACTGTTACTTCATATAGGCATTTGCATTAGGTCCAGGGGTCTGGAATCACATAGCCACTGAGTGTGTTAAGAGTTGATGAACCAGATCATCAGATGATTAAAAACTGGTATTGCCCTGACTTTCATTTGTTGTTCTTGCTGAACTTGTAGCCCATTAACTTTCAAATGGAAATAAATCCATATTGAAATTAATTTTCTTGAACAAGCTGAAGTCTAATCTAAATGGTGATACTTATGCTTAAATTAGAAAATGCTTATAAGAACTGAGTTTTAAAACTATGCTAGGTTGAAAACGGGTATACTGAAGGTGTCTCTTCCCCCCCCCGTTTTCATCTTCTAGTAAGTTGTTTGCTACTAATATAATGTACTTCTGTTGAAATTGTTTGATCTTTCCAGCTCATATCTGTACAGGAATTCTGATGCTTGGGTTCACATTGGTTGACAATAGCACTTACCCTACTTCCTCTTGGTTTGCATTAACTATATAGCAGGCTGATCAATTTATGTTTATACAGATAGGAAAGATTCAGAGTGAAAGCATTTTATTTCCATACTGTACAAAAAAGTTTCCATATTTTTTTTGAAATCTAAATTAGATAATTTAGGGAACACTAATGAAGTTGTCTTCCTAGTGACAGTCTTGAACTAGATCAAGCATCCTGTTCGCAGTCACAGCTGACAAATTTTTTTTCTGAAGGAGATTGTTTTTTCCTTCCTGCCTTTTCTTTTAGATTAATACAGAAGGGACTTTCACATGCTTAAGCCTTTTTATCGCTGGTTGACATTTGTCAGTTTTGACACTAGAGATGTCAAAGTATTTACTGAAGGGTGTATGTAATTTTGTTCCCAAAGAAGTCATAGAAAGGACTTCCTTTACAGTCAAATATAGGCTGAAATATAATTATCTACTGAGACCTTTACTCAGGTAAGCTTTACTTTGGTGTTTTCTATTTATTGTATCGGATTCTCTGTAGTAAACAATACGTAATCTGAATCCTAATCCTAAATTTCCATTTCAGGAGCACTTTTTTTTCCAGCTTGCATCCATGTCTGATAGTTTTTGTTCTTCTGTTGCCCAGAATGCTTCCTGGGGTGTAGTGGGAGGCAGTGGTTATCTGAGAGGTGACCTTCTAACCAATCTGACATCTTTATTCCTTTTTCTGGTGTCAACCATTTTTTCATTAATGTCAATGGAGGGGGAGCTCCTGTTAGACCTCATACTTGTCCTCAGCTAGTATTAAGAAATTGGAATGCACAGTTGATTTGCCAGACAACTATGTAACTATTATAAACATTACACTTTTAGCTGCATACAAAGTCTATGTGATTGCTCTTAGTCAGTTACGTTTATATTTTAAAGGATTATTAACTCAGTAAGTATAGGATCAGTAAGTATAGGAATTAGATTTTAATTTCAGTTAGATTTCATAAGCTCAGATGTTCTGCTTTTTCCAAAGGTACATGATAACAATTGCTATGATCCATCATAATTTAAACATCTATAAATACAGCATGTACCTAACATGAAGGAGAAGAAAGAAAGAAAGCAGGAAGAGCGCTATGGGTACAGCTGTATGAGTGTATCTGTAACACAGCTGCTTCAGCTGTGGGAGTAGTGCACTGTTTAGGAGACGGCTTAAACTGAAGACCATATGTGGTGTTGAATTCCCAAGTGGAAAGGCGATTTTGTTGTTAAGCTGTTACAGTAGTCCCAGGGAGGGAATTATACTGGTTATACTGATGCTATATCCTTAGTGACAGGAAGGTGCCATTTTCTGTGTCTATCCCCAGGACCATGTTGGTGTCCATTTAATAGAATGGGAGATCAAAATAAAGGAAGATCAGATGGGCAAAATACTGGTTTTCCTCTGTCTCTCACAAAGGGCCTTTTTGTAGGCTGTTTTAGTGTTGTTGCAGGCTTATTGCATACAAGGCAAATGAGGTTTAGTATTTGAGCAGCTATAACAAGGCATGGCTTTGCCAGGTTCATGTTATGATATACTAGAACATGCAAATCTCTAATCATCAACTTTATTAATACATAGTGTCATGGCGCTGAGTCCAGGTGTGAATTAGTACTTGTTCTGAGTCTAATTAGAGAAGCCTTTTTAGGTAAGAAAATGGTATAGTAGCCATACAATTTCTCTATTGTAGATTGTAAACCTTTTGGCTTCAAGCCTTGTATATACTGATACAGGATGTACTGTAGTCTCAAGCTTAGTTGTTATTATCACTTCTGTGTTGAAAACATAATTGCGTAATGAAACCTTGCCATAGCAAAGCAATTAAGCAATTTAGGTTTTAATTTTAGATTAGACAAATTAGTTCATGATTATCTCTCAATAAATATTTTTTAGGGTCTGACCAATATTAAACATTTTAAAAAAATAAATGGTATATTTTTTGCCTGACAAATTAATGTCAAAACAGAATCCTAGATGTTCTTTTGTAAGTGCACCTCCACTAGATGCACTCAGTTATGTTCCCACTCAAAAGTTTTGTCCCGTATTTGGTTGAGCATGACATATGAGGAGAGCAGGGAAAACTGGGAGGCGATTCAAGCTGTCACTGCAAAGGAACTATAAAGCCAGTTTAACTGGCTGGTGGGCTTCGGTTGGTCTGTGTTGCTGCAAATGTCACCAAACAGCCATAATCTAGGTGGCCCTACATTTAGGGGAAAAAAGGCATCCTGTGGTTGCAGACTCTTTGTGCCTGTTCTCCTGGGTTCATATGTTAATATTTCAATAAAAGCCCCCAGAGGTTCCGAGATCTGAATTACAGTAAAGCTGAGATTGCAAGTTTCTGTCTGTAAAACCAAGATATACAAGATTTCTATTCACTTCCATTATAGCATTTGATCTTGAAGTTGGAACTGGGTTTTGGTTTTTTTGTTTTTTAAATGTTGCTGCAAAGTTGTATTGGTGCTATCCCCAGCTGGCAGGGTTCTGTAGAAGTTTGTGGCACTGGGTAATGTGCATAAGAATAGCTGCAGTCAAAATCTGTAGTTTACAAATAGTTCATCTTTTTTTTTTTTTTTTTTTTTTTTAAATAAGGATGGTGGCCTGTTCTTTGCCTGAAGATTTCTGCCACTGAAAAATTTTTGAAAAAGCGTTGTCTTTTTGAGAAAGGAAAAACTGTTATTCATGTACGCACTTGAGAAATGTGAAATCTTTCTGTGTATACAAAGAAATTGAATGCATTTCTGTGACTTGTAATGTACTTGACATTTAAATGCTTGCTTCTACAAACGAAAGCAATATACAATCTAGTGGAAACCCAGATGACATAACTGCTTAGACCAAATAACTTCAAATAAAGATAGCTAGGGGAAAGGATTATGATAGTTGTGAGGAGGTACAAACTGACAGAAAGATTAGAATGGAGGTAGTCTTTTTGGTTACTGGCTGAAACAGTCTGAATGAGGAGGATGTAAAGAAATCTGTACTTACTGAGCTACAGAAAATACAGTGTTCAGAGGAAGGTGGGGAGAAGAGGGGAATATTTAAAAAGAAGTGAAATGTTAAGAGCATCCATAGGAAATGTGAAAACTCAAATCCAACCTACAGTATCTTCTGTATATGAAACAGTCTTCTGTTTAGGGCATGCCACTTTTTTATGCTTATCCACAACGTTCAGTTTTGTTTGGAGACTTAAGTTTGCCAAGTCTACTATGGAGTGCTTATTCTGCTTGTAATTAGGAACAAATAGGTGTATGTAGTTAATTAACAAGGAACGATGATTTTGAATGATGTTCAACTGTAAAACGTGACGGCTTTCTGACAGGCATGCTAGTCATATGCTGGAACCTGTATTTTAGCAGCATACTATTAACATTCTTTTATTGAAAGGCAAATCTTCAGATGCTCATTCACTGGAATAGGTGCTACAGCTTAGTGCTCAAGAGTTGGCCTTTATCGCTGTAGTCTGACAGTCACTTCAAGGATTTACTGCAAAAAAAAAAAAAAAAAAAGTGGTCCCTTCAACCTCTGTCCCCCTTCCCCCACATTGCCTTCTCTGTTGTGCTTACAAAAGTGTTTTTGCAGCTGTGCAGAGAATCAGATTGGGGAACTGATCCAGGTTAAAGCAAATATGTTGTTGTCTGGTTAGTTTTAATCTAGATCTGTTCCCTGATCCAACTGACTGCATAACTGCGTGAATGTTTTGCCAGGAGGGCTAAGGTGAAACACAGTAGGAGTCAATGGCTGGATATAGGAGTGGACAAGGCTGAGATTCTTTCGTGGGAAAACTGGTTAAGTCTGAACCTGGCTTTCAGTGAATACTTGTCATCCAGTTCTTAGCTGTGATGATGCAGGTGTTTTTGCAGTGGACATCAGGTGATTTGAAATGTTACAGCTCTTTTCTCTTAGCTGGCTGCTGCTTCATAGTAGAGATTCTTTGAACAGTGTCAGACAGTTTAAGTAGTCTTTTTCTAGAAATTTAATCTTAAAGTTACCTGAATGAAGCTATGGATAAGAAGTTCCCACCATCAGTTTTGGGATTCACTTAGCAATCAGCTTCTGAAGGAGGAGAGCAGAAATTGTAACATCTTGAACCTCTGCAACCAGTTTGGTAATAATCACAACATTTACACCACAATGAGGTATCTCTGGCTTGGGGATAGAACCTCATACAATGAGGTAGCACTGGTAGTTCAAAAAACCCCACCAAAACAAAACATATTTTTTCAGTCCAAATCATCTGCTTCTACATTGTCAATTCCTGCCTCTCCATGCATGTGCACACATACTTGAGCCTAGGCCTGACTGAATTCATAAAATTATCAGAAGACTTCAGGGAAGTTCACAAAAGCTTTGTTTTTAAAAGCTACCCTAACAAAGTACCAGATTTGGCCCCAATGATGAGCATGGTCTGGGAGGGTGGATTAATTACCCTTGTTTTATTTGACTTCCTATAAACAGTACGAATAAAACTCTTGTAGCATTTTAATAATGTGCTTGAACTAGCTTGGACTGTGTGAAACCTTGCATGTCAATGATGAACAAATCTGCTCAAGAAGAAAAACCTGTACTTGCTAAATTTTTTGCTCTCAACTTTTAAAAGCAAACTCTTGTTGTGACATTTTCCACTTGTATGACTTAATATTTTTGGGATGAAAATACAGAGTTTTATAAATACAAAAAATTTGTGCCTTTATATACTTTTATTCCCACACAAACTGAAAGAGGCCATCTTTCATGACTCTGAAAAGCTGAACTGTAAGTTTGTTGAACAAGTGTAGTTAGATGTCTACATCTCCTAAATATTAAAATGTCTGTACCTCATGAATTTGGTGAAGTCATCTGCTGTAAATGAGAAAAGCATTGTCCCAAGATACGATGTGCACTGGAGACTCCTTCCTAACCATACCCGCCTCTCTCATATTTCTTTTTGGGGAGCCTTTTGATGGAGGAACCTACCATTTTACACTGTTAATGAGGCAAAAAGCCGATTATTTTGCGTGTGTTAAGTTTAAATTAGCCTCAATTATTACGGGAGAAAACACAGGAATACCAGTTTTCAAATTGTCACAGCAACTTAGACCTGAATTTGGGTCACCAAAGAGAGTTTATCACTTAGGTAGAATACTAAGGTCTGTACAGTCGTCAGTTTATGGGCAAAACTTAATTCATGACATGAGACTATTCAGTAAAAAAATAAATTGTTGTATACACATAAATTTAAACTTTTATATACACCTGTGTGCATGTGTGCACACATGCACATGCTTAGCCCTTTTTTCTCAAAGTATTTTATTTTAAAAGTATATTATTATATTTCTGTGTAATAGTGTAAATGTTACACTCTTCTAGTGTAATAGCATGTCTAATACATGTTGGTTTTTTTTTTAATTTGAGATCCTTTCCTAAATTAAGGCAATAAAGTATCTCTGTATTGAGTCACATGCATTTCAGAAAAGCGTGTTAGCCAAATAACCTGTTAAAACAGGCATGGCCAACTGGTAGGCATAGGCCAAACCTGGCCCAAGGACAGTTTTGCTTCCTAGCATGACAGGAGTAGACTTTCCCTTGTGGATTGTGCTGACAGACAGGGCAGCAGTCCAAAATTTGAGTAGAGAAGGCTAAACCTGCTGCCTACCACATCCTCCCTTTGGGCTCAGTCAGGCACCCTGTTCCTCTCTTCTCTTCTGTGTCGGCTAAATGCTATTGGGCTTAAGGTCTTGTAGGCTGAAAACAGGCACAAGGCCACCACCTTAGGAATTCGGGCTCTGACACAAGAGTAAGGTGGTGCTGGGCTGAGAGTACACTGAAGAACAAAAAGGACAGGTTTTGGCTGCAGGCGACACTGGACAGATGTATTTTCCAGCATCCTACTGTTCATCATTCACAACTTCGTGTTTACTGGTGTGCTAGGATGAAAATGTAACCTTTGTTTAACTTTGACTTCATCAGTGCTGTAGCTTGTCATAATAGACTAGACTGGAAGAGAAAAACAGTGGTGCCCTCCAGCTGCTCTTGTGCTCTTCTCCCAAAGTTTTGATCACTGCTATGACCTGTGTGTTTCCTGACTACTTTGCATGAATGTTATAGTCAAGATATTGACCACGTGCTGTACATAACCCTGTGTTACAGGAGATGGGTAAGAAATATTGCTGGGCAAAGTACATCACTTTCATTTGACTTAGGTATACGTGGGCTGGAAAACAGCAACCCTCTGCAAGGGGGGCAAATAAATGGACTGTATGCTTAGATAGTGCATTTGTCATGTACTGTCTCAGGGAAGTCCATTTGGCCTGCAGGTAGGTATCTTAAACAAAGGTTTGGCATCTACTTTCAAGGAATTGAGTACTTGTAATCAAGCGTTTGATATTTGATAACATTCTGCTGTTTACTGCATTGCTTTTGGTCCATGCATACTGAGTTGGTGTTGCCTGTTAAGCATACTTTATGAAAATTCTAAATTGCTTTAATGTTAAAGAATTTTATATTTGCATTTGGTATCTGTATTTTTGAACTTTTATTAAATAAACCTGTATGAAGTCTGAGCATCTCAAATACACCTATTTTTTTATAACTGACCTGTGACGTTGTTAACATCTGCCTCCTCTTCTTAACCTATCTCTATCCTTGCCTGCAGGTTAAGGTATTGCACAATCAGCTTGTTCTGTTCCACAATGCCATTGCGGCATACTTTGCTGGGAATCAAAAGCAGCTTGAGCAGACACTTAACCAGTTCCACATCAAATTGAAAACTCCTGGAGCAGATGCCCCATCCTGGCTTGAAGAACAGTAATCAGATCAGAGAAGAGGACCCAATCTTAACCTAAAATCTTTAAATCTGATAATAATTAAGGGTTGGGGTTGACGGACTGTTGTAGTGATTCTTGCACAGACAGCTTTAATTTTTTTTCCCCTTTTGTAATACTGTAAAACTGAATTCGGTGGGAAAGTGGGTGACTTTAAGGTAACCAAACATAATTTCTGTCATTTCAAATATAGAGCACTCATTTTGTATGTGAAGGTTGGTGGTTATTTCTGTAACTGGGATGGGGGAGGGAGGGAGGGAAAGGAGGGGAAAGAAAACTATTATAGATTTGCACTGACAAATGATATTTGTGATTTCTGGTCATTTTGGTGGCTAGTCAAAATACTTCCAAATGGAGGTTTACATGATTTGTACCAACATCTGGTATTTTATAGATGAATATAGAAAACATCTTTAGTAATTTTCATATGACTTTTAAAAAGGAGAGAATTAAAGGAATATTTTGCAGATTAATAATATAAGGCCTGTGTGCGATACCTGCATATAAGGCGACAGTAGCAGATGGCTCATTGACTAGTGGAATTGTAGCAAATGCCTTTTTAAAAGATGTACCTTTCCATCATAGGTTCAAAAAAAAAAAAAAAAAAACCCCTAAAAACACTAAAGCAAGAATCACTGTCAGTCTGAGGCTTCTAAGCACACATTTTTGCTTTGCACGAAGTGGTTTGCTGAGTGAGGCCAACCATGCAATGTACTAATTTCATTTAAAATTTTACTTTCTGTATGAAACAAATACCGTACTAGCCTTAAATCACAGGTATGTGCCTTTTTATAAGATAATAGTTTCCACCAGTGTACATAATCAAAGAACCCTTGCACATAATGGTTTGTCATTTCCCAACAAGGGGGAGGAGACTATGTAAATGCTGTTCCGTTTTAAACTTAGAGCAAGTTAAAGCTTTAGTTAACCTTCATGGACAGGTATGATTTTGAGAGAGGAAATCAGGCCAGTATGGTTTTTCTATTTAATTGAAAAGCATACTTTGGTAACGGGAGTAACATGGAGGATATTTTTTTAATTTCTCCATCAATCATGTAGTCCTTAAATGTAAAATTTTATGTCAATTTTATCATAGACATTTTAAATTCAATATATTGGAGTCCTCATTTGCACATGTTACGTTGCTTTGTGTTTTATTAAGTAAAATGAAATACTTAAAATGTTATTTACAACGGTGTGGATTGTATGATTTATGTACTGTATGTTCAAATGCCTTTCAGCTGACGTTCTTAAAGTTTTCAGTGCTTAACACAACTGTAATGTAACTGTAAATCAAACTTTTTAATCATTCCTCATTAAATTCTTGGCCTGACAGAGCCTTCTTTATGTTTTTGTTCTGTCAGAATCTCTTGTAATGGTTAATTTACGTTCCCCAGAATGTATATCCTATGTGAATTTTGTATTCATATTAAAGGTGTTCGCAGTCAAACTTCCTTGACTTGTGACGGTTAAGAGTAGAACCCAGCTTCTGCAGTGAAAGCTTAGACCTGTTTTGCTGACTTGCCACCCCTGCCCAAGCATTTCTGGTAAAGCAGAACTAGGTGGTAACACTGATGCTGTTTTATTTTGGGGTGGTTTAATACTGTGCAAGTTCAACTTGAATGTAAACTCATAGTGAAGCAAATCTTTCGGTATATGTAAGTCTTGACTTAAACTTTTAAAGGAAATTTCATTACATTGACAACTTTTATGAAGCCATTGACTTCCACTGTCTCTGAATCTTGGTATGCGTATGGTACGATGGTGAAAAAAGTTGGCTGTATAACTGTACAGTTGAGCTAGGAAATGCAGGTAGCAGCATTATAGCAGGGACGGAGAATGCAAACCTACTGACTACAACTGAAATATCAGCTTTCAGACCACTGTAGGAAACGGATACGTATGGAACATGTGCTTTTGGTTTCTATCTCTGATTTCATGTGTCTCTTGCTGAGGATAGTCCCTGCCCAAAAGGAACTGATGTGTCAGAAACGGTAAGAGTGAACTTGAATCTGAAATTGCCTTATGCAGGAATGACCCATGTGGTATTGTGTAACCCTCAACCTTTTGCAATGGCTTAAAACTGCTAAAGTCTTCTTCACCTGGAAGAAAAGGTTGGACAAAAGCGATTACTCTCTAAAATCTGTGCATTGTTTAATACCAGGGAGAAGGAAGAATGACTTCCATTTTGCTCACCAAAGCAATTCTTCTAAGTGATAGCGTCAGTGAGGAGGGTTCTGTGTTCAACTGATCGATAGAATATTAAACCGATTGCCTTTTGTAGTACTTTAACTTTCTTTCTTTGCCCCTATTCAAATATATGTGCTTATGAAATAAGTCAAGCTCATGTCTTGTATTCAAAGTTAACTCTTCAGATCTAACCAAATTTAGAAACTTTTGCTTCTGGAGATCATACGAGGAAGACACTTCTGAAGTTTCTAATGGGAAGTAATTATGGTTGTCAGTTTTTCTGATACTAACAAAAAAGCAGTATAAATATCTTAAGATTGTAATGCTGGCATTTATCTGGATAGACAGTTGTCAGGGTGGATTTTTTTTGTTTGTTTGAGAAGGGGGCCATACCCACCTAGTAGAGTCTTGTCTGTGAAAGATTTCATCTCTGTAAGAAGTTATCACATTAATGCTTCTAGTGTTGTGTGACGTTTCTCAGGAAGAAGAATTTAAAGCTGTTAATAGCGTTTCAGATATGCTGCTGCAGCTGCTCTACTGAACAGAGACCCAGGGAGCTGTTCCGTTTCTCAGTGACCATACTGTAAGTTATCTGCAGTCCTGGCTTGTTTGAAACTTGTAGCTCCTGTTATTTTGTTTGTATGAATTCTACAAACAGCTCTTCTGCTCTAAAAATGCTCTTTGGCATACCTCATGCTCTGTCAAGCACTTAGAAAAAACCTTTCTGGTTATAAAATGTATCCGTAGTTATATTTGAAGAGAGGTCTATGCAAGTAGAGTACAGCAACACACCAGTATCATTAAAGTAACAGCTTGATTTCAATCTTCTGTCAACTGGCTTTCCCAGCAACTTTATCTCTGTTCTGTCTCTGCTTCAAAAAATGATTAAAGTAATATAAAAGGAAAGCTAAACATGCCCCTCCACTCTTTTGAACTGAACTGGGGGCATGTTCAGTTTATATTCTCTGCTTATCTGCTCTCCTTCCTTATTGTGGTGTTACAAGAATAATAAGGTATTATAATTATTTAGCATTCCTCATCTGCAATTATCTCTAGGGTTTTTTTTTTAGTCTGGTTATCTTTTCCATGCTGCATGCTTGATGTGGAGGTTGTACTAGTCACAGATTTTTTTAATTAGTCATTAATCTCTTCATATTTTGTGATTGCCCCCACCCGAAACTTATCCAACTACTGGCAGCTAAGCTTATTTTTTTGATGATAAGATCCACAGAGGAGTTGACTGTTCCTTGGTTTTTATTTCTTTGTTCTCCTTGTTACTTGTCATCATTGTTAGCTCTTTGACATCTTTGTGTTCTTTCAGGTTTTTTGGTGTTAAAGCTAGTGGTGCATAGAAAGCACATTGCTGTGTCTGTGACAGCAGTCCCATTCACCTCACGGCACCTATTTTCACCAAGGTCCTTTCTCTTAATTTCTGTCAGTCTTATATGGGAACCAAGTGGCCAGGTAGATGGTGTGTGTCACCATGGCGATAGTTTGAAGTGAATTAAGGAAGTACCTTACGCTGTAGCATAAGAGTAGCAAGTAGGATGGCTTGTGCCTGCCTTGGAGAAGGACGGCATAAAGCCGCAGTGCAAAGGAACTGTGACACGTTGCTGTTTCATCAGGGTCCCTACACTGAAATGTAGAGAAGCAGCATATGAACCTTGCAGAGCAATGGCCTTGGACATAAAAGTTCAATCTATGGTTTGCAAATCTTTTGTTTCCTACGGCTGAGAGTGCTGGCACAAAAGCATTACCTTTTACACTTCGGCTGCCTTTCGGGGGGGGGAAAAATATTAAGAAGGGGGCAGGAGCAGCAACAATTCTGTGCTGTCCACTATTGGTAGTGTACTTCTCTTAAGTGTTTATGCTCAGCAAAATGTATGTTCAACTTTTTTTAATTGCTGTGGGTGAGAAAACCTTTGTTTTCTGAGCAAATACACTCTGTCTCAGATCTCTTTATGAGAACCCATTTTAAAGACAATAGCTATTGGAGGAACGGAAATATTTGATATTCCAGGAGAAGCAGAAGAAGAGATCAAGAATATCTTTCCAGAGTTCCCTTGCATCACCAGGTGGTAGAACTTAGATGGGTACCAGTGTGGCTGTATGATAACATTTCTTAATTAAGTGCAGAGATCAGATAGAGAACAGAGTAAACCTGAAACAAATTTTTTACTCTGTATGCCACCATAAATCCATTGGTTCAGTCAGGAACAGTTCAGCTATCAGCAATGTGTTCCTAGTAAATGGTACTTAACAAATGGTATGTCTTACTGTGCTAATTAAAAAAGATAATTATATACCTTGCTACCTTTTAAGGAATACTGAAGGCTGTAAATTCAAGCACTTAAGAGTTAAATAATGCTAAAAACTAGTGTTACCTGCTCAGTCTTGATTTGCCTTTCTTACGTATGTGTATGCATCATGCTAGTTTTATGTGATAGTGGTAATTAATTGCAGGGTTTTGTTTCAAGAGGTTAAATACCACCGTGCTTGAATTTGAAACCAAAGAGAACTTGGTTTTAATGTGTCTGAAGTGTCACAATTAACTTTCTCTCCTGCCTTTGTCCGAACACTGTAGAAATGAGGGCTTGCAATGAAGATGACGACACCTTTTGTTTAGGTGGTATAAATTGCTTTGTGCCCATTAGATCTGTTCAGTCATTAAATTCATGTTCAGCTTAAAGCATTAGAAGCTCTTTGTGCTCTAAAGAAAAGCAGAGTTTACAAAAGACATTTTTTCTCTCAGAAGAAAAAATGGTAATGCCTTAAAAAAGTAGTCATCTTGAAAACTGTCTTGAGCATTTCATTAACTAGAAATCTTAAAATATTAACAATAGGAT